CTGACTGTTAGCATTGTGTTAGCGTTTTGTTAGTGTTGTGTTGTTGTGTTTTGCTACATTTAGTATGTTGTTGTTTTGTCAGCTGTATTGCTGTAACGTCACACTGTCACTCACAGTGCTTTAACACCATTGTCAGTTTAAATATAAAAATCAATAAACAAAGTTTATGAAAAAAAAGAACCCAGTTTGCATCTCATGAGGTTTTATGAAGAATATTCAAATGATAAATAATATGTGATTCTAATTTGACCTGTTTTGTTGACCTGGTTCCCTTTTTAACATGACAAAAGTTCAAACTGATAAAACTTAGGTCAAGGCCTCTCTGAGTGACTGTGATGACTGAGCACCATTTCACAAAATCACAATGCAACAGCACCACCTACTGCTGTGCAGGTGTACGTTCAGGGACGGGTGGCAGGTGAGGAGGGTGCTCACTTACAATTGTGTTAAAAGCATTTCCATCCAGAGAGTCTCCCAGAACATTAATGGCAACCAAAGCAACCTGAAATCATAAACAGATGATGGTGAGGTGGTGGAACGAAACATGACTGCAGGAGAAAATACGGAAAAAAAAAAAAAGCAATGCATATGATAAACGGGTGAATAGTACTGAGAGGATAATGGTGAAACAATTTCACTGCAGTTTAAAGGATAACAATTGTGATATCCTTTATTAACTTACTATCAACAAATCCGTTAAAAAGATTAAAACCAACAATGAACTGATCCTACTTAAGTATTATCTGTGTATTCAAAGCTTGATACAACTAATTTCTCTCCGCTATAGATCTCCATTGTTTTATAAACAATGAGCAACTGAAGTTTAGTTTGAGTAAATCCCACATAAACTGTCCTGCTGCTGTAAATACTGACAAAAGCAACAAATGTGCATTAATCTGCTGTTGAAAATAGTCCCCAGTAAAGGCGCTGTTTATGGAACAAAACTGTTCCAGGAAATTACTTAGTCAGATTTAAAAATTAATCCATGTATTAATGATCCATTTTCAAAGATTTAAGATTTTTTTTTAGCATGAACAAATGGGACTGAGTCACAGACACAGATACACTAATACATTATTGGTTTTGGTCTTTTCATGGGATTTGTTTATAGACTAACACCAGCCTTATCTGGTGAGTAAAAACATATCAATTACAATCCTGCAATTACGATTCTGATCATTCTTTTGCTCAATAATTTTGTCTCTAAAATGTGAAAAGTCCATTACATTATCATCACAGTAAAAAAATAACCCAAAGTATTCCATTTACAAGGATATAAAATGGAGAAAATAAAACTAATCATCATATTTTATAAACCAGAACAAGCGAAAATCTGGGATTATACTTGATAAAGGACATTTGATTGATAGACAGACCTGGAATCAATTACTTTTCTTTCAATCAAATAAATCATTATTCAACTAATCATCTCAGCACTACTGAAAATGCAAAGGAAACTTATGAATTTGAGGGAATAACTGGCGAGAAATTAATTCTCAAGAGCGTCTAATAAAGCAGTCATTTGTCATTTGAACACATTCTTCAAATGAACACAACACATATTGTTATCCTTCTTTACATACTGTATCTATCAGCCGCATTTACAGTGCTCTTTAAAACTGTCTCATATCACTGCAACACATCACAATAATGAGGCTCTCAAATATTATCTGAGAGGTGCTCTGACCAGTGTTGCTATTGGATACCAGGGTGATGGCAGTGTAAGTGCTGCCACTGAGAGCCTAACACAACAGATATCACACAAAATAACTACTACTACATTGTGTCTTCTTAGTAGCCAATGACTTTAAATGATCTGAAGAAATAGTTTTTTAAAGACACTGGCTGTATCTAGAGATATGATGAGATTTCAAGCAAGATTTTGTTGTTTATTTCTCATTCTATTTATCAATTTAACCTAATAAACTCTGGAAGGCAACACCAAAACAAACAAAATACTTTTTTTTGCAACCCAAGATTAAAAGCTGCCCACAGTCTGGATCAGACCTGACTTAAGTTACAGGCAGTGAAATAGTGGTGAAGGTGCATCGCTAGCATTAAACAGAGTACCTGATTGTACTGATTGTAACCGTTGACATGATTCTTATGAAAGGTTATTCTCAGGTATGTTCCGATGGCGTCGACATGGACCGACTTCAGCTCCCGAGCTTTGAAGCCCGTCTTCTCGTTGTCTGACAAAGACACATACCTGTGGTGAGAGCACAGTGTTGCTTTTCAGTCCAATTCCTCTGCTGTGATACAGTATACGAGACTAAAATGCTACATTTTTAATACATGTTGAGCCCTCACCAGAAAAAAACTATGATCATTGTTTATGTTTTTGTATGCTACAACATCCCAACCTCCTAAACCATCTAGTATTAACCTACAACTTCTAGTTAAAATATACAAGAGGGTGCAAGTCAAAACTGAGCCTGGCCCAGTCTGAGGTCCCACCCGAGTCTGCGAAGGTGCCCTGGGAACCCTGGAGTGCTGGTTTCAGGGAGAGTGTCTCCAATGTGGAACTCCACCTTAGCTGGGATCAGGTACTGGTGGGCCAGCAGCTGCAGCTTCCTCACCCTACTTCTCTCCACCAGCTGGAGGGTGACGTGTTGAGGGTAAGAGCACAGCCTGCAGAATATTTGATTCACGTAATATTGAGTTTCTTGAAGAGGAAATTACACTTTTTTAAAATTTATTTATTTATTCATTTTTATTCATTAGAAATCTAAGAAAACTGCCACTCATAGGAAATATTTTTATTGCTTTTGCAGCCTATGAAGTTATAAAGTTGCCATGAATGAATGACATGCTTTTCAAACAGAGCGCTTTGTATATGTACCTGCCGGATCTCCAACCATTGACTGTGGGCGCATGGACCATGAGCTCCTTGGCAGTGAAGTTGTCCTCATGACTTGAAGAGTTGACCACGATGAATCCTATCTTCCTGGGCATCCCTCTGATGGACACTGACATAAACAAGTGAAAGTGCAAAGGAATTTGATTAGTGACAGTGATAACTGCAAAGATGATGTTCAGGTGCAGTTATACCTTTTTGAAAGTGCCAGGAATGTCAATTTTTAATGAATATCTGCAAATTAGTCTGTGTGAATTTGTGTTCAACACTTTAGAAATTGTTTATTTTTCTGAATGGTTTTGTAGAAACAAATGTGAGTGTTTCTCAAAGTAAAGTAATGAAAAAAGTTAAGTTTCAGTAACAAAACTCAGGCATTGTATCAGTACTAGAGCTGATAAATTCGCCCAACCACGTCAGTGAACTCATCTACAACACTTACAACAAGGGGCAATGTTGAATATTTACTAATACAGCCCAAAACTAGCTAGTCAGAGATTAGACAGCAACTACCAGTTTTTAAAAGAATAGATTTGAATACAATAAATTAATTTCATCCCATAAATTCGACAATAAAAGAATAACATGAACGCTATCAAACAACCTTTGGTTTGGTAGCAGTGTGAAATAGTACTAAAGTAATTATTTTTGTTTACTGAATGTATGTCAGTAGCTGTGAGGCTTAAAGACACAGAAGACAGAATATATTAACTGGCCAGTTGTACGGTTCTCTTCAGGGAACATAAACTATCCTGAAAATAGCAAACAAACCCCCCCAGGACAGAACAGAGAGGTCCTTCATGCTAACTTGAACATGTTGGGCGGGGGGCATTAGCTAACTGTTAACAACTCAATCAGCCAACATAGCTAGTTTTACATTAGCTACATTGTAAAGGTATTTTGACCGCCTGAAATCCAATAAATGTCCTGACAACTGTCACATGTTATGTCCTCCCTTTTATTGGTGTAAAGTTTAAAGTAAAAAGAAGTTTTCTTGAGCGTATTTTAAAGATATCTTACCGCGAACATCACCGTACCGTTGACAGCTTGTAGTCCCATTCCATCTCCATAACCACCGTTGACAACAACCAGCGCGGTCATGCGCAATGGTAGGATTGTCATCAGTCGCAATGGATTATGGTTGATATAGTTTTATTACTAGTTCTTGACATCAACAGTTGTTCTTAAGCCTGTTTGCGTCGATACACACACGTCTGGTTGTATATGTTTCTACGTACACTTTGCGACGACGACAATATCTATATATATTTAAAATACATATTTTTAATGCGTTTTGACAACTTCTTCCTGGTGCTGGGTGGTCTGGAGCAAGCAGCGCGTGAAGCTAGCAAAAATGCTACAGGAAGTAAACTAGGTCTTCAAAATGAAGGCACAGCGTGTAGCGTTATTTTCAAAATCTTTGAGGTTACTAATTTAATTTTTTAATTTAAATATTCCTTTCAATTTACTGGTTCATATTCCAGTAATGATATCGTGAATTTAAACACAAAAATATAGAATTATACATCAATATGTGATAACGGTCTAAAACTGCAATTACACAGGGACTATCAATAAGACACGACAGTCTAATGCATTCACTTGAGGAAAAAAAGATTCTGCTCAGTTTTTCTGTTATAACGAGATAATTATCTAAGATAATATTTTAAAACGTAATAATTATCTAATTATCGAATCTAATAATTATGTCGTTCAGAAAAACATAGGATTTTTTTAGAGAAAAGTTTTCTTTAAAAAAAATCTGCTCTGTTTTTACTGAATTAACGGAATAATGATCTCAGAATTCTGAGACAATTTTCTAATAATTAATTATTATCTAATAATACAATCTAATAATTATGTCGGTCATTCAGAGAACAGGATTTTTTTTTTAGAAAAGTTTTCTTTAAAAAAAATGCTAATTTTTGCTTCATTTATAGCCAAAATGCTATGAATAAGGTTTTCTCTGGATAGCAGTCATCCGCCAAAGTTCACATTTCAAGTCACATTTTGATTATAATTATTCGGCATATTGAATCTGACATGTACCGTTATCTTCCAAAAACCCAAAGACTCATAAGGAATAATTATTTATTTTGAAAACGGAAAACGGAAGTGGTGTATTTCGTTGTCTGTGCTACCTTCACAACGACTGGTACCTCATACCAGGCAGCATGGATGACATGGAGAAATGGCCTGAAATAGAGAAAGCAGCGACAGAGAAGAGGCGTGAACTGGTTCTACAGGGTCCTGGTGTCGACAAGAGGATTTCCTCTAATGGGGGGCTCACCGGGTCCATCTATTCCCTCACACTGCTGAATTACCTGGAAGTTAGCCAGTGTCCGAGTCTGACAGAGATCCACGAGGACATCCAGCATCTGACCAACCTGCAGAGCCTCATCCTGTGCAGGAACAAACTCGCCTCCATCCCGAATGTCATCGGCAGCCTCAAGTCCCTGAAAGTCCTGGACCTGTCGGTCAACAACCTCAAGGTTTTACCGGAGGCCATCGTCCGGTTAAGAGAGCTGAACACGCTAAACGTGAGCTGCAACAGCCTGGAGGTGCTGCCCGAGGGGCTGAGCCAGTGCACCAAGCTCTCCACCATCAACGTCTCCAAAAACCACATCACCGGCTTCCCCGCTGACTTCTACTCCGAGCGGCTGGAGCTCCTCAGCAGCCTGGTGGCCTCTGACAACTGCATCCAAGAGCTGAGTGGAGATGTTCACAAGCTAGCTGCTCTGAAGGTGTTGTTGTTTACTGGCAAACATGCTGTAAAACAATACAGATACTATACTATACAATACAATACTATTTTGAATTTGGCATACACACGATTACACAATTTTTTACTGTATTTATTCTTATTTTTGCTCATTTATTCTTACTAAATATACAAATGATCAAGGTCAGGGGACTCCAACCTTTTTTGCTCTAGGAGCTACTATGACAAATTAAAGGGGCTGAGAGCTCCTCTAGCTGATATTCCCCCTCTAAAACAACACAGAACCTAAAATTTAAAAACTTTATTCTCATAATATTATGACTTTTGTCTTGCAAAATTGTAACTTTAGTCCCTAAATTTCATTTTTTTCCCCCCCTCAATCTGGCCCTAATACTCCATCGTAATACAAGAAGCAGTTCTTCTACATCATTTTAATGAGCCCCCGTCCACCACAATGAGACAAAGTTAACAAATAAAAGATATTTTCTTTGTGAAACGTACTCCTGTGTAAATCAAAGATGTGCCGAATTAAAGAGGAGCTGTCACTTGTTTCGGCACACAGCTTTAATTGTAGCTTGCTAATATACAGTAAAGCTCTTCACTGTCACTGATTTTTAAACAGAGTTTGGTAACCACACAAGACAGGCCAGTAATGTATCTATACCAGCTTGAATATAATATACTCTGTGCCCGTCTTCCCAGGTGCTGGATCTCTCCTGCAACAAGCTGAGTGAGATCCCCTCTGATCTGAGCGACTGCCCCAAGCTGAAGGAGATCAACTTCAAAGGCAACAAGCTGAACGACAAGCGTCTGGAGAAGATGGTCAACGGTTGCCAGACCAAGTCCATCCTGGAGTACCTCAGAGGAAAAGGAAAAGGACGACAGGGAGAGGATGGAGCTGATGCGGACGGCGGACGCAATGCAGACAAGAGGAAAAAGGGGCAACAGAGGAAGAAGAAGGAGAAGGCGGCAGAGGAACAGGACGAGGTGGAGGAACTGAACAAGATGGTGGTGAGGGTTCTCCACGTTTCAGATGCTCCCACGGCGCTCACCGTCAAAGTGACCGCTGAGGTTAAGGACGTGCGGCCGTACTTGGTGTGCTGCGTGGTCCGAGGCATGAACCTGAAGTCTGGGAATTCTCTCAAACGGTTCCTCGTGGCTCAGGTGAGGTGACATACATCAGACCATGTTAAATAAAAACATAACCACATGTGCAGCGCCGTGAGCAAAAACACTTCCCTGTTGTTTTCCCAGACGAAGCTTCACGATGATCTGTGTGGTAAAAGGACAACGGCGACCATCGCAACTCATGATGTGCAGCTTCTCAAAGGTCCACTGGTGTACGACGTCAAACCTCCCACCCAGCTGAAGGTATCCTCATGGTTCATTATTTTCAGTATTCTGTCCAGATACAAGTGCTTCACAGAGGCATGGAAAGATATTAAACATAAAACATTAAGACGACATTAAAATAGCATTTAAAAACAATAAAAACAAATTTGAATAAATAGAAATAAAAATATTTAAATACATAAGATCAGGTAGGAAACTTAGGACAGGGGTGCAGTGATAAAAGACAGATAGATAGATACAGTAGATAGATAGATAGATAGATAGATAGATAGATAGATAGATAGATAGACCAACAATAATAATAATTAACAATAAGCAAATGCACTAGATTAAAAAGATGTTCTGTATGTGAACAGTGATGTTTTACTCCCTGATCTAACTGAGCTGACAGTCTCAGCAGATCTCAGGTGTTCAGGAAGCTTGTTGCACAGGTGAGGAGCAGAGGAACTAAAATCTGCCTCACCTTGTTTGTTTCCTGGAACACTGAGTGAACCTGACCCAGATCACCTGAGGGGTCCGGATGCTTCGTGTCGTACAAGTGGATCAGAGAAAAGTCTTCTGGTGTCTCCCAGATGTCGTCAGTTTTATGTTTGTGTCAGTTGCTGTGTGGTTCTGTGTTGTAACTGAGAACATAATGTCTGTTAGATCGTTCCTCTGGGTCGGAAGGAGATGACGGCGGTGGAGCTGATAAGACACCTTCACCTCGAGGCTGAAGAGCTGAGGAAGCAGAAGAAGAGGCAGAATGTAACTGGCCTCCACAAGTCAGTACAACACACAGTGAATGACTGATCCACACAGCACGAGCTCTGTCTCTCCTGAGGGTTTACTGAGTTAACTGCAGCCTGGAGTCAAGGGACGAGGCTCTTGTGTTGAAGGCACATGAACTGATTTTCAAAATAAAAGAGAAATTATCTAATTTATTTTAGTGCAGACCTCTGTCCTTTTCGTTTGAGCACATGGGGGCAGTATAAGAATGTTGGACCACAGCTTTAGTCTGACGTAGTTGTTGTCAGTATTGAGTAAGATGCAGGTGTTCACTTGAACTTGAACATTATTAAGGATCACAAGCTTATTTAATCCCACATATTGAAAAGAAAATGCAGAAAAATTAGGATATAAAAACATTATTGATCTGTGTTAGTGGAATTCAAATAGTTCATTATTATAACTTACATGACTCACTTGTAAAAATCTTCTTTACCACTGTGTGCTTCAAAAGTAAAGTGCTACTTGACTTTCTAGCAGTTTATTAGCGACCAGAGAGGAAGACAAAACGACCACTGTGACAAGCTCATTGTTCAAAGAATCTTCCTCTACATTTGCCAAACACCTTTTCACACTGTTGTCTCTGTCGACTTTTGTTTTTTTTTACAGATACCTGCAGCTTTTGCAAGGAAAAAGCGTCTATCCCTGCCTGGTCGACGCTGAGGACCATGTGATCTCATTCCCACCTATTACCAACAGTGAGAAAACTAAGGTGTGTCTTCCTGGTTATCATGATTGCATCTTTGGTCTAAGAGAGGATTTTATATTCTGATACTTATAGCTTGACTTCGATACAAATTCTTAATGATGCTTTTTTCCATTCCAACTTTATCAAATCCATTTTAACAAAAATAAAATTACAACACACATTATTGTACAAATGTTAGTTTTATTTTAGTTTTATTTTGAAGCTTGGTAAATAAACAGCCAATCAGCAGCATCATTAGATTTGATAACTATACAATATGTTTCAGCGACTTTTTGTCATATAGTAGAAATAAAAACATGATCAGCTGATTGTACGTTACAGATCAAGAAGACCACCAAAGAGTTGTTCTTGGAGGTGACGAGCTCCACCAGCCTGCAGACCTGCAAAGACATCATGGACGCTCTGATTGTAGTAAGTTTCTGTTTCCTTTTTCTCTTTCCTTTTTCTCAGAAATCAGAATCAAGAATCATTTTGTTTTTTTTACAACTTGGACCAAGAGAAGCTGCAGCTCTGACTCAAACCGAAACTCAGCTCATCACATATTTCGCGACCTCAGTTGACCTTTCGATCACAGGGTGGGAGAGAGGTTGTTAGTCTGGAAGGCGATGGGACATTTTGCTTTTCTCACTGACAGGAATAGAACTCTTGGGGAAAGTTTTGGATTGAACAGAGTGGTCTGAGGAAATGAAGAAAACATGTGAAGAAGAAGCTGTGTACAGAGTCTAATACAGACTTTACCGCAAAAGTATTGCGAGTAGGCCGACAAATATTTGCAAAACAGTAAAATTGTGGTGAAAATAAAATTAATATACATATATATATAATACTGTTTTTAAATGTTTTAAAATGAAATATTCTTTTAAAGATGTTTAAAAAAAACTCCTTTCATTTTTTTCTTCTTCTCGTATTAAGGCCGATCACTGTGATGAGCCAGTGATAGGAACTTTTTTTGTTGTCGCATCATATACGTGTTTTCTCTCTCAGTCAAAATAGAAAGCTGGTTAGCAGCAGGAAGAATTAAAAGGAAAGAGTTCAGAGACAGATGGTGAATCGACAAGTTGAGCTTCTCCTGTTTTCAGTTGAACCCCGAGTGTTCGAACATGATTAAAGTAAAAAGTGCTCTGAGGCATCATTAGGCGTCCTTATTGTTACGGGGTCGGATGAGGGGCGCCAGCATTTTTCAGAACTTCAAGTGGACCATGAGTTAGAAAAGTTTGGGAACCGCTGATCTAGATTTTCAAGAAGAAGCCCTGAGAAGTTAGTGTGTCCAAAATTCATATCACACACTGATTCTGAGCAGGCTTTGAGTAGGAATTTGGGACACATGTTGTTTACTGTCTCCTTCCTCCCCCCTTCACTCTGTTTTCTTCTGGACAGATTTTTGAATGAAAATCATCCAAGAAAAAAAACATTTCAAGAACCGAAGTGTTGAAGTGCATCTCATAAATGGTTTAAAAAAAAAAAAAAATCTCACAGGTATTTACAGGCTGTTTCCTGTTTCATCACAGAAAATGGCAGAGTTGAACAAGTTCACGGCGGAGCATCAGGAGGAGGCGGGGTCAGAAGGGGAGGGGGAGGGTCCACTGGAGCCGGCGACCAGCAGCGAGACCTCCAGCGAACTGATCGTCCAGCAGGTCCGAACCGTGGACCAGGACGGGAACCTGAAGGTCGTCTACCCGTCGAAGACCGACCTCTCCAAAGACGTCGGCAATTTGAGCATCGTTTGGTAGCGGGCTGTGGACAACCTGCAGTGTTTCCACTCATTCACATACCACATGAAGTTATTCACAGATTAAAGCAAGGTTTGACAACATGCAAAAAACAAAATGTACATCCTTTTACTTCAGGGAGAAAACCTGATCCTGTAGGAGTCTGTGATCAGAACATTTCTGATTAATGTACAGCTTTTTCAACCACATGCCCATAACACTTAAATAAATCCTCTTCCTGCTTCCTGACAGCATGATCAACAAGACACACTGCAAAATATCCTTATTTTTGTATCATTTACAAACTGGTGGAATTAATTTTGTTCTGACATTGACTTGAACTTGGATTGATCACTTATCTGTGTTACAGGAAGATTTGTATTTCTATTTATCAACTTACAGCTCTGGCATTTTCCCTTTAAACAGCAGCAAACAATGTCTACATGAGACTTAATAAACTTGACTTCTGTTTTCATTCACTATATTAATGTTATTATTATTATATTCACTATATGTCACACACACACACACACACACACACACACACACACACACACACACACACACACACACACACACACACACACACACACACACACACACACACAATGTCTCCTGATCAGCTGGAGTTTCTGTAGGTTTTTGTGTTTTCTTTGTTCCAGACATTGAAGCGACACCGGCTCATTCCAACCACAAACTCCCTCCAAACACTGGGAACATAAACTACATCACTTCCTGTGCAGCAGAGGAGTTTCAGCTGCTGCTCCAAATCTGTTCGTGCACATATGGAGCATATTAAAATCTTTTCTGAAACAAGTGTCCAGGCCAAGCTGCCCACGTCCAGACCACGTCAAAACATCTGTCTCTAAACCGAGAACAGGAAAGATTTAAGATGAGATGAACCTTTATTGACCACTGTAGAGGAAACTGACACAGCAGCACAAGGTGAAAATGTAATAAGAAATAAAATAAAAATAGAAAAACAGAATCTAAGATAAATTAGAAATACTATATACGATAACAATAAACAATGTAAAAAATTAATTAAAATAAAAAAGCTGGACTTAAAAGCTTTTACATTGAAATTTCAACCTGAGAAATATAATTAATTCCGCCTCCTGCTTAACAAGTTATGATGTCGTCTTGTTCGCGGCTTTATGCACTGAAATGTTTTGAAATGACTCCTTAACAACCTGCCTGCGACTTAACTATTCCATAGTGTTATTTTAGTATACGTAGTTCTGGAAGTAGTTGCTGCATTATATTTATTACATTTTTTTTATATCACTTATCTTTATTGATTTTGAACATGATACGTCACTTTTCCAGAGTGGGTTGGGCTTATCTTTCAAGTCTTCCTTGAAAAAACGTTCCCCTCTTCCCTCCGTCCCAACCCCTCGCCCATGAACTGATGGAATTAATTAAGAAGTTTTAAGAAGTTTTATATGCATACTAACATACCTGCAAATCAAAATAAATTTAAAAAAGCATACAGTCATTTGGTAAATGCTAAATATTTGATTTATTTGAGAAATTAATCCCATATTTTATGTAAAATATGACTTTTTTGTTTGATCGTGGATGTAAGCCTTTCAATCCCAGGATGGTCCACAAACACTTTTCCAATGTACAGCAATAAGACGTTCTGCTTGTAATAGGCAGAGATTAACCAACTTACTTTCATGAGTTCTCAGGGACCAAGACCAAGAACACAAACTTCTGGGAGTACAGGGATCCTTTATGTTGGAAAATGTGTTGATTATTTCTTTCCAAAAGTCCTGTACATAAGTGCACCTTCACATGCAGTAAAATAATGCACATTTTACACAACTGTCTGGGATATTAGGATTGTATTTAAGCTTTTCTGGAGTTACATACATCCTCATAAGCATCATTATTTTTTGCATTTCTCTGGCCAATGGACAAAATCATAAACTTTACAAATTAATTTCATTCAATGCATGTTTATTGTGATATGACTGTAGCGTCAGTGTGTTTCCACAGGCTCCTCAGGAGCGAGCCCAGGATCTGCAAAAGAACAAAGGATTCAATTCAGACAAATTATTAATCCACTTTAACATCTTTTCTTTCCAGTATTTTTCCTTTGCACAGTTCAATTACAGTTACTTACTACGAGATACTTACAGTCACACACATAAGACACCTCCAGGTACTTGTAAGTGCCTCTGCAGGGGTCTCCAAACACAGAGTTGTTTGCTCTGATAGTGCAGCTGTTTTTCCCGTTACAGCTGTGGAGTCAGAATGACATGAGTAAAAACAGGCTTTAGAAAGCAGGTTGTTATGGAGGCCAGGTAAATAATGTGCAGTTTAGATTTGGCCTTTCCTTCTTTAATCAGAATCAGAATCATGTCCTGTACTTGACTGTATTTATTATAAAGGTGAGCAGCTGTACCTGTCAGCAACTTGGCTAGTGGGTCTTGAACAGTCAACGTTTTGGATCTGACGTTCAGGCCGTCTGAAAGAGCAGGTAGTCTGGTCACGGCGTCCGTAGTCAGCTCCGAGGACAAATATAACCTGCCCCACATCTGATGAGGAGGACAGGCAGGAAAGGAAGGCAGGAAGGAAGGAAGGAATGTGGTTTATTTGATTTCTAATTATGTAATTATGCTTTTGTTTATCACCATAAATGCAAAAAAGAAATTCAATCTTACCACAAAACAGATGTGCCAGAGAGCGCTCACATGCAACCACGTGAACTGTCAGAGGAACAAGAATCATCATTAGAGATTAGTCACACTGATCAAACCTGTTAGAGGCTCTGAGTCACTGTGGATGTGCACGTCACGCAGGTGTGTGACTGACTTGCTGGGAAGCAGGTGTAGATGGTCTCCAGGTATTTGTGGACGCCAAAGCAGGGGTCAGAGGTACCAATGACATTTGCGTTGATCTCACACACCTTCTTACCATCACACCTTCAGGAAGGACAGTCAGAGCAGGTTTTTAGCACAAAGTTAAAGCTCAGGAAAATTAAAATAATCACAGAAGGTGAGAAATTACATCAGACGTACACTTGTTTTAATCACTATCATCAAGCATACATACATAAACATACATATTTGTATGGGCTGAACACATCAGTATAGGAAAAAAAAGTGTTATATAGGCTTTCATTATTACATATATTTTTTTATTTTATGTTTCATATATGGAAATTCAATACAAGTCCATAAATATTACATTTGCTTATGGATCTGCAGTAATGCATTTTCCTAGTGTCTAAATAATGAGGATCTGGTGTGAAGTGCTTCAGTCGGTGACGCAGGTTCTTTCCTGAATAGTAAGTACGATATTTGAGGCGAGGTCTTTCTCACAGTTCATTGACACTGAATGATTGACTCACTGCCATCAGCAGCTGAATGCATGTAGAAAAACACTATTTTAACTCTGTTATTATGAATGTGACGTGTACCTCCTCCTGAGGACGTCTGTGGTGCCGTTCTGAGAGCACTGTGTATCGTTGAGCTGTTCCTCAGTTATCCATTGACTGCAGGTCTCATTGTCTGCACGTCCATACAGAGCTGCCTGCACACTGATCACCCCGAAATCTGTTTCACACCGGGAGGGGGGTTATTAAACATCCAGGCCTCTATTTTTATAATTTTATGATCTTATTTCATATTATTCTGATATGATCATTTGTGTTCTTAGAAAAATTAGGGTCATTGTCATTTGTGATAGCCACTGTAATTTTGCGGATCAATGTTCACCTCCCAAAATCATTTAAAAATGTTAATGTGTACAATTCAAAATGTTCTAATGCCTCGACACTGGTTGAGCCAGTGTAAATTAAATTCAAAATTTTCATTGTTGACACAAAGATTTAGAAAGTTCTGTCATACCACAGCTCAGGTGTTGGACGTTGTTGTTGCTGTCACAGGTGACAACTCTCTCTGTAGAAACTACAAACATAAAGAGATATGAAAGTACAAATTGCAGTGTGTCCAGGCACATAAACTATATATATATATATATATATATATATATATATATACATACACAATATGTAGAAAATGAATCTCATACTACATTCACTCAGATATTTACCTGCCGTCATGAGCAGACATGTTGCTGCCAGCACTGGAAAACAAACATCAGTCAAACTGTGTCGGCCAAACAAAAGCATAAGTCACAAAGTCTTGTATCCTGTCCTACAGCACAGTTTTCACTGCAGACATTTTGACTTGTAAATCACAGATTTTATTGGTAACATTAACAATGACTCTGTTCTGAAGCAGCCATAATTAATGTTATTTATTACAACCGTGTAGAAAAGCTTTGAATGTCTGTCAAAAGTATAAAACGCCGTAAAACACATCATCGCTCGATTGTAAACACACATCAATCAACTTGCACTGTGAATTTGTAGCCGAGTCCATTTGCTTTCTTTAATAATCAATAATCGGATTCCAGTCCTTAACGATTTTACAACATGAGTCAGACAAGGAGAAACAAATTTCTAAACAGAGACAGAAAATCACGCGAATGAGCTGCTTCTTCAAACAACCTGGGGAGGCTGATTTCCCTTCCAGCTATAACCATATACAGAACACTGGAGCATGCTGGGAATTATATGGCCATTTCAGAACTAACACAAAACAGTAAGTGCACAGTCTAGAACTATTTTTTCCCCAATAATTACACTGAGTTAATGAAATATTTAACTTTAGGGCCACAACAGATGAGTCGCAGCTGAAGCTGATGGGAAAATTCAGTTGTTGTACATTAATGGAACAATCCAATAGCTCAGCAGATATCGCAGAAACTATTTCCTTCCTCCCAAAAAATCCCAGAGGACGTGGATTCTGAAAGAATATTAGATGTTTAGAGGTGGGGACCTGAAAGATGTGACCACAGAAGAGAGGTTGGAGGACTCCAATCAGATATAATAAAGCTCTCGGCCTCTGAAGCAAGGCAGCATGATTATTGTTGTAGTTGTCAGTCAGTTGTTACTCACACAGTGCGGTGCGGAGGCTGAAGCGGAGCATGGTTTCAGAAGATCCCGTCTCAGGTGAGCAGTGGGACTGATGGAGGCTGGGTCAGTCACACCTGTATTTGTTCTGCTTGATGAGGAACTGTCTTCGCTCTACCTGCCAAACAACCTGCAACAGCCTGACCTCACGCAATTGGCTCAATGTTTGGTGATTGTGGTGATTTTTCCAGTCTGACAACAAAAACCTGCATTCACGTCTCTTTCCAAACAAGCAGTCACTTTTCTGACATTTCCTTCCTTGAAGGAAATGCCCCTTATCTTTGAGGTGAATGTGGCCCCATTGTTTTCAGTTCATGTGCTTGTGTGATCAGTTACTCTTCCTGATGTCACAAACCGGGCTGCACGGCCATGACAGAGGGAGACGCACACAAACAAACTAACAATGGCATGTGTAATCTGTAAGATCAGCAGTGTTATCAAAAACAGTAAAGACAACCTTAACTGCTTCAAATGAATCAGACGTTACGTACCCAGTTATTGATGCACTCTAGACTCAGACTCCTCACAGCCTTATACACTCAGGCATTAAAAGTAATGGACAAAATATATCTTTCTCAAATTAGTTCATAGATTTATCAACAGTTTAGATCCAGAGTCTCATATTCAGAGAGAGAGAAACTGTGGTGAATGGCAACTGCAAAATATCATATTGTAGATCTAAATTTAGACAGTTGGCTTTCTCCATAAAGGACTGTGAACACATCACCAAGTGAAATCAAACTGACTTCAGATATAAATTCCTTTACAACAAAGGTGAAGCAAAACAAAGCTGTGTTCATTTCTAGCTGGTTGTGGTTCTTTTTCATTGTTTATGTTTGTAGCTTGTTGTTGTCGCTCTTTAAACTGAACATCTGGATATTTTTTGCTAATTGTAGGATATTGTCAAATGTGTTGTCTGTTTGTTTTGTGTTGTTTTTGCTGTTGACTGTTTTAATTACATTACACACGTAAAAACCCAACTAGGGACAAGAGTCGAGAATTAGCATCAGCTATAAACTCTTTGTGCAACTCATTAGTTTCATGCTTTGTTTTGAAACTATGTTAAATTGCATCGTCCCTATTAAATAAATAAATCAACTAAACTACAAAATTAAATGAGTGCATGAGTGAAGAAGTGTGTGAGTGCAATGTTGCATGGTGCAGCAACAGAAACAACACAAACCAAACACCAACCAAAACCAAACTGGTGCCTCAGGGAGGAAAGAGACACAGAGCTGAGCTCCAACATGGTTTTAAAAGCACCAGCGCACAGGGCCCAGGTGTGCCAGGTGTGCTGATGAGCCCAGGTACTGACGACCCTTTGCCACTCCCACCTCCCAGTACCTGCAAAGGAGGCAGCCACACACAGGCAGCAAGAGGTACACAGCTGTGGAGAGGACTGTCACACTAATGGACAGTTTGGCTCAGGACATGCTCATGTTACCTGAGAAATGACACGTAGGTGAGTCTTTGTTCTTGGAATATGATAAAGCACCTATTGTGTTTTTGTTTTGTTTTTTCTGTCACTGAACTTCCTGGAAGATCCATAAACAGCAGACACTGACAGTCAATCCTTCTGCTTCACCTGAAGGATTCATGAAGCTCTTTTTGTACACATTTATTTATATTTTTAAATCAGGTATAACTATGTTTGTTTACTGTTTAATAAAGAACATTATCTATAGTTTTGTCTAATTTGATACAAAGTAAAGCTTGTTGCATCTTATTAGTGTACAGTAAAATAAAGTGCGATTAGCAAAAAGTAAAACTTAATCACAAACTGATAAGATACATGTTGCAGATTTAAAGTATTTTATCTGATGCACGTATATTGTAATCTCATTGTGCTTTCACTATATTTACCAAGCCTCTATCACAATGGTCACAGGATCTGCAAAAAGACAAATGAGATAAGTTTCACTTCAGATGGACAGTTCAACAAAAAAAATGCATTTTTTACTTCAAGAAGAAATGTAGACACTAAAAATCTGAATCCTGTAGAGCCTAAAGGTTGTAATGTAAGCTACTTACATTCACAAGTGTAAGACACCTCCAGGTACTTGTAAGTGCCAGAACAGGGGTCTCCAAACACAGAGTTGCTTGCTTTGATAGTACAGCTGTTTTTCCCGTTACAGCTGTGGAGTCAGAGAGACATGAGTGAGGACAGGCTTCAAAGTGCTTCAGGTGCATATGAAATGTTGAGCATCCTCTGAGAACAGGTGAGAGTGGATGGCATCACAAATCTGCAGTTTTAAATACATCATGATTTTGATTTTCAACCTGAGGCACAGGTCTGCACAGAGTGGCAGCTGCACCTGTTAGAAAATCAAGACTTTTATTGATATCTGCAAATGCGACATTATATTGATATGAAGGTGAAACATGTGACTGAGCCAAGAACATGTCTGATAGAACTGTTGGGAAAAACATACAATTCAGATACCGGTAAAAGAATCATTTCATACACACATTAGGACATTATGGTCTGTTAAACCTTAAAACATGTTGGACTTCATACATTAAGACAAAATGGGAGAAGGAAGGAGGGATAATTATATCTGAGGGAGAACGGACAACAATATGGAAGTGCAGCGGATCACAGAAACGGAGGGAGTTTTGCTGGAAGAACCTGTTCAGGTATTTAATCTTCCTGTTTGTTGGAGAAACTGTGGAAATCAAAACTCAAACCACCATCATACATCAGAGGCTGGAGAAAGATATAGAAAGCCTTACAAGACATTTTCAAATGTGATATCCCTCCCGAAATGAAGAACATATATATTGAATATACACCAAGTCGAGACTGATCGAAAAGAGATAAATATTTAATGAATGTACTGCTGGTGGCTAGTAAAAAGAATCTTACATGGAAATGGTTTTCACAGGAAAACCCAACTCAAAATGTGTGGATGGAGATTACAACTGACATTTATAAAACGGAGACGCTAACAGCATTTGTCGATCATAAATTGAAGCAATGTACCGTCACATATTGGAAAAAATGGACTGACTATGTAATGTCCTATGGGCCTGATTTTATTTTCACAAATCAATACTTTACAAAAAAACATCACTCCCTACCTGTTCATGGTTCTTTTTCATTGTCTTTTTTTTTCTTTAATATATACCTGTGCTCACAAACATGATTATATATCATATAGCTACATTCAGGATGAAATCTGAGATTCATTGTATGGAAATATCTGTTTGATGCTGAAAGTCAATAATTAAAAAAAAAAAGTATCTGTACCTCTCAGCAACTGTGTTGGTGGGGTTATAGCAGTCAGTATTTTGGATCTTAGATTCAGACTGTTTGTAAATGCATGTGGTCCGGTCGCGGCGTCCATAATCAGCACCGTAGACGGTTATAACCTGCCCTGCAGCTGGCAGAATAAAAAGGTAGAGTTTGAGTTAAAGAGAAAAGAGGAAGCTTTGAGTGAAGGTGGCCAAAGGAGCAAGAGAGATATTAAGGTGAGGGCTGAAGTAGGGGTGGGCGATATGGCAAAAATATCATATCACGATTTTTTAAAAATAAAATCACGATTTCGATTTTATCACGATCTTAAATTGGAAAAAGAAAAACAGACAATTTAGACCAAAGAACCTTTCTTAACAGATTTTATTTCAAATAGTCGCAGTTTTGCCTGCATGTGCAAACAACGTAAAGTTTAAGGTAAACAACAACATTCTGGTTCGTCGTGTTACCACCCGACGTGCGAACGGTTTCTGTGCAAACTTTGCAAATTACATTTGCTTGCGCTTGATCAGTTGCGGAAAATCCAAACCAATTCCATATAATGGAGGTGGAATTTCTTTTAGCGACCGACTCCGTTTGGCTTTCAGCCATCGCTCTCCATGTGCTACCGCTACACACACAATCAAGGAGGCGGGTAGGAAAGTGCGTCACTGCCCGTAATTCGCTATGATTGGTCGGTCAGGTTGACGACGTCAATACGTGTGGTTCGTCGGTGCATCAGCTTAGAACTGCAATTTATAGAATGTGCCCTAGACGATCCCACGATCTCTGCAGTTTGAAAGATCGTCTTCACGTTGTAATCCTTCACGATCTAATATCGTCATATCGCCCACCCCTAGGCTGAAGTGCCATGAAACAGGAGTAAAAAGTGATCTTACCACAGTACAGGTGTGCCAAAGAGTTCTCACATACCACATGGGTAGCTGCCAAAAGTAACATGAATCACATTAAACATGCATGAATGTGAAATCCCACCTCTTTCCTCATGATCTTCTTCAAATTAGATCACACTAACAAAAATAGATAAACAGACAAACAGCCTGCTGCTGACTAGCAAACTCCATGGCAACATGAAACCTCCTGTCTGAATCAACCAAGAGTTCAAAGCAGAATGGTTATACAGATATTTCCTGTGTTTAAAAAAAACATTTGAGGATCAGGCAAAAATACAAGCCCATAAATAAAGAACGATCAGTGCAGGTTTGTTTTAGTTTCATGCAGATGTGTGACTGACTTGATGGGAGGCAGGTGTACGTGGTCCGCAGGTATTTATAGGTGCCCCTGCAGGGGTCAGGTGTGAAGACATTTGAGTTGATTTCACACAACTTTTTTCCATCACACCTGCAGGAAGAATATAAAGACCATGATTCAAGCAGAATCACAAGAAAACTGAAATAAGCTTTAGTGTTTTGTGACCTGGGCACAATACTAACGGCACAAGCACAAATTTTTATATCTCTCAACCAATTTCAATGACTCATTTCTATATTCAAAAGCTTATGATGATGGAGTAAAGTTTGGAGTTTTTCTCCAGTTAGTAAGTTTAGGCTGTAATCACTGTTTTCTATAAGGAGGAGTGTGCATCAATGAACTTAATACTTATGTGGCGGGAAATAATTCCTTGTCATAAGGAATTGTTAAAACTTTTATTATACTACATTCACTACTATTCACTGCGGCACAAATCTCTGCAATAGGTACCCCTCTCGAAGCAGCCTAGGAGGTGGCCATACCCCTAGTAGAGTGTGCCACTAGACTACCAGGGACAGGAAGTGGCAGAGGTTCTGACCATGGTAAGCATGGGAAATGGTGTCGACCAACCAGTGTGACAGGCCCTGTTTAGACACAGCAAAGCCCAGTTTACTACTACCATAGCAGACAAACAGCTGGCAGTGACACTCAACCCTCAACACCCTTACGGACACAATGTCTGTAAGTCTATGTCCCCCTCCTCAGACGCTGACTCTAGTTGAAATGAGCTGATCTCAATTGTTTGATTTACTGTCTGGGAGTTTACCACCTTAGGGAGGAACGAGGGATTTGGCCACAGCGAAACCCCCGTGCCATCCACCTCAAACACTGCTCGCTAACAGACAAAGCATGTAATTCACTGACTCTTTTGGCTGAACAGATTGCCGAAAGGAACAGCATCTTATGAGAGGGACTTCAGGTCTGCCTGCTCCACAGGTTCATAAGCGGCCCGAGTCAGAGATCTTAACACCAGTGGGAGATCCCATGATGGGAAGTTCTCCATTTCTGGCCATAGCTAGCTTGTGTGGAAGGAGCTTTAGCTGCAGAGCAGCCACACCCACAGTTGCAGAGTTGCCGGTTTGTTGTGCCAAATCTGGCCGTCTGCTTGGGACAGGAGATCTGCCCTGATCGGCAGGGGCCACAGTCGGCTGTTGAAAACAGTCTAAATTATGATGATTCTAACTGGAGATAAAACTTTTATTTTTTTTTACTAGATCACAATATAAGAACAAATAATTGAAAACGTTTGAGAAATATAAACGTTACAGTGTTTATTTTACTTATCCAGAAAAACCGCTTCTCCTCCGTTTATTCTGGTTTGTTTACAGTCTTGACCGATTCAAGATGGCGGCGACGTTGATGTATGGCAGCAGCGGGAACGTACCTTTTCTTGATGATGCCCAACACGCCGTCCAGAGAGCAGTATATGTTTTCAGTCTTGTATGTAGACATTCCCTCACTGCAGATCACCCTGTCTTTACGTCCGTACAGCGCCGTCTGAACACTGATCACTCCGAAACCTGTTACTCAGCAAAGTGGTGAAAAAAGAGATTATTGAGAATGAAAAATAATAGCCCATCATAAATATTTATGGTAATAAAACTAACTATTCGTAAGTTTTGATACATAGCTAGCATTAGCATTGACAGCTTATAATACGTCCTCTGAGCAGCACTACTTGTGCTGAAATTGGCCGACCGAGCCTGAGCTAGCTGGTTAGCATGCTAACTTTAAGAGTAGATAAAACAGAGAGTTAACATAAGTGTTTCTTTCCCCCTCTGGAGAGAGATGTTGGCGAGTGAAGGAATGTAGTTTGATGCTGAACTCACAGCATTTCCTCTAGACTGGTAAGTAAAAAGCAGTTAGTGCTAAAGCAAAAACTTAAAAATAGCTCCTTTGAATACAGTTGCAACTCTGATGGATTTCATCAACATAATCTATTATTCAGCAAAACTATTTTTGTCATGATAGAAGCAATTACTTAATCTTGTATCATAAAGAAAACAGTAGCTAACCTAACATACACAACAAATGTTTTCTTCATAGTCCTGATAAAATTCAACACATAAACATTTTTTGTCTTAACACTTGTTGAGTCAGATCAAAAAAGTAATAAAATAAATAAATAAAAAGCATACATTTTTCAACCCTAACAACAAACCAAACCAACTCTTTCATGCTGCCAAAAATAAATATAAGTACTGTTGTGTTCAGGAAATACATGTAAAGTCATACCACAGCTCAGCCGATGGATGTTGTAGCCCTCACAGGTGGTAGCTGTCTCTGTGGGGAAATCTGATAAAGAAAAAAAAGAAAAAAGAAACAGATATGGAAGTATGAGTTTAACACAAAGCTAAATGCATTCAAATATCCTCATTCCATACATACAGTACAGTACATACAGTATATACACACATACACAGACACACAGATATTTACCTGCACTTGCAAGCAGGCAGGTTGCTGCCAGGACTGAAAAAGAAACAGCACTGTCAGATTATTATTTAAAAAAAAGAAATAGGACATAGATTATAGTATATTATATTACACTTTCTTAATGAGTCAAAATACAACATGAAACCACTAAGAGTTATAAAGGAACACTTTGGTTTCTTTGACATCAAAACTAAAACATTACAAAATCACAATTTTAAATTTACCAAATTTATATAAAGCTATATATTTTTTTATAATTATTACAGTCATCAGTTCTACTCACAGAGTGTGGTGCTGATGCACAGCATGGCTTTACAGGACCCAGTGGTAGGTGACCAGTGAGACTGATGGTGGGAACAGACACACTCCAGTATTTATTCATTTGGATCTTGGACCGTCAGCTGCATCTTTTGTGCAAAACAAGCCTGAACCTCAGTGGCTCCTGTTCAGCTGGATACAGTTTTCAAAATGAGAATAACACGACAATCCCATGAGGGACGGGGAAATGTCTGTTTTTTTAGAGCAGACCCTGAAGAGGCCAGAGCAGTTTAAAGTCTTCAGTGAAACAGACAAAGCAAACAGTCACTCAAACAGGGAAGCTGAAGAAGACTGGGAGCAGGAGAGGAGAAGATAAAATGATCAAATATTGGCTAAACACATTATAGACTAAACTGTAATGATTGTAATAATCTGGTTATATTTGTTCTAAATGTGTATCAGTAACTGTTCTGTCTGGCCACTTTCATTTGTGTATAAGAACACAAGCTTCTCCTATAAATGTGTATATAAATGTCAATATTGCACTAAATGATTTTGCCTAAACTGCTTTGGAGGAAATGCAATTTTCTGTATGGATAATGTTCACAAGCAACATTTTCTTCCAGGAGAACGAGGTTCATAACCCGCGTCCAGCATGTGTTTAGATTCAGGCATATAGAAAAAGTAAACACAACCTGTGTTTTCCCCATTCTTAAGGGTTAGTGAATAAGTTTGTGGAAATAACCATTAAAAGCCAAATATCCCATTGGCCAGGAGCAGTGTTCTTCCTCCATCCACATGGGTGGAGGAAAACAAACTTCTGGAGAACAATAATCACAACGTTTTCGTCATGATGACTTGAGGATACTGGCAAAAATAATATTGAAAGTGAGAATAACACATGGTCATCTATAGTCTCAGTTGACAGAAATGTTCAGTTTGTGCCAACATGTCAAGGGCAAGACAAAACGATGGTCTGAGGAACTAGGTATTATCTGATTGGGCCAGACACGAGAGAGAAATACTGTTTGGTTCCAGTTTTGGCCAAAGAGAGAATAAACAATATGGATTTCTCATTTTCAGAAAGAAACAAAACCATTACAGCCAAAGACTCTGAGCCAGTGTTTTATTGATGGTCTAATACAGAGGTAAAACGAGATCGAAAAGGAGTTATAATCATAAATAATAACTAATAATCATTATTTATTATTGTGTTTATAAATACTTATAATTGGGGTTACAAAATAAAAGAGTTAAAAGAGAAATAACTGTTTCAAACATACAATATGAAAATCTGATGTCAAACATGGAGACTAGACTAATGCTACACTAACATCTGTGACACACACCTATTGTACTTTGCACTTTATTTGAAATATACTGTTTTTTTTTCTCCATTTCCATGTGTTGTTTTATTCGGCCATGTATGTATGTATGTATGTGTCAGAGTGATTTCATTGTTTGTAGTTTAAGAGGTGAGAGATGAACCTGCATTTCAAACACTTTGTGTTGTTGAGGTGATTTAAATGGAACCGATTCTAAGTTAGTGGAGACCCCTGGTGGTCGTGGTGGGAACCAAAAAACTCACAGAAAGTACAAATATCTGAGGGTCACAGACACCATCTACTGGAGTCTGGAGTCTAGAAAAGTACAGGAGCTTTTCTTTTAGGATTGCCATCAGTGTTACATACTGAACCTCAACAGTAGCACAAGCAACAGTGATGCCTATAACTTTCGTTCATTAGCACACTTTGCATGTTTCATTCCTCCAATAATATCTAATTTTGTGTTGTTACTTGCTTATTTATGCAACAAATAATTGATCATAAAAAAAAGAATCAATGATAACACCAACAACGTGTATGTAATACATAAATTATGGGTATAAATTTCCTGGCAGTTTTAAGGGAGGTGTATGTGATATCACTGCTGGTGTGTTAAGATGAATGTTGGGCCTTAAGGGATTATTTTAACACATACATTTTTTATTTATATTTATTTTGTTTTTCTCTTTCATTGTCTTTGATGTTTAACCCCCATGCTTTCCCTTGTGGACTGCACCAGTATGTAGGAACTACCTGTGAGCACAAGCCCAGTTCTCCCAGTTCTGTTGTTGTGCTTCCAGTGTGTAAATGTTACTGGATTCAGACATGTGGTGTGGTGGTGAAATTCAAAACATCTATTTAGGGAGGCAGGTGTGTAGGAACAGGATGAGTGGATCCAGAGTGGCAATCAAAAAGTCCCGGCACTGTCTGAAGTGCAACAAACAATTTAATACAACGTTTCGGTGCTAGACCTTCTCCTTATAAAATGACTCACCCTGTCACTGGCCAGCTGTGTGTGTTACATTAGAGTAACTGTAGTGGAACAGCATGGGTTGGATTATGGAACATGTAGCTGGAGAAAACAGGTGAATAAATGACCAACGGGTCAGACAGAGAATCAGAAAAGCTCCGGCTCACAGTGAGAGTCGACACCTTTGGAGTTTATCACATTTTCCACAAAACCACTTCACAAAAATCCACTTTGTTAATATGATCAATATAAAAGAGAAAGAAAATAAGAGTCAGCGAAATCTGTTCTTGACAACTGACAGCGGCTGTGTTGATAAGACACCAATATGAAAAAAAAAAACTAACCTGAGCCACATGTTCACAGTACATATTTTCTTTCCAAGATGACACCTATGTTTAAGAAGTTCATATAAAGAAGATATCAATGATTAAAAACACAGAAAGGCTTGATAAACAATATCAATGTAAAACCACGATTTAGCAAATTCATACATCTCAAAACTCTTCTGAGACACAATCCCAAGAAATTACAGTAATTGAAAGAGACATTGAACATTGAACCTGAATCTAAAAGTGAGAAACTCATCGAGCTGAACTTTGAACCTTGGCTACGTTTGGGTTTGAAAGTAGAGAAGTTTGCGGAGGAAGTTAAAGGAACCAGGCATTTGCTTATAGAGCCCTTTTGCAGAGTTTTGGGAGACCTCGTGGTTCACCTGCAAATAAGAACAGTTCATAATCAGATGTGTCTGTGTTTAAATTTAAAAGCACTAAATGAAATGGTCAGAGGGATTTAATCGAGCATCCAGTTAATTTTGCAGTTTTAACAGAGAAGCTCACCATCATCAACATTGTCACTAAGTCATCTGTGGCAGCATTTTCCTCGAGGATACGGTCCATTGTCTCAATGTACCAGGATCCAGACTGGGTGTCTCTCCAAGAAACATAACCTACACACGTCACATGGTCAAAGTGGCGTTAGGAAGACGTTCATATCAAGTCTAGTCGATCTATTGATCTGACTTTACAACAAAGATGAAGTGCTGCTAAAAGCAAACCAGAGCTGTATCCATTTCTAGCTAACTGTATCTATTGTTAATTGTTTTATTTTATTTTTCGTTATTTTCGTAATATTAAGACTTTAATTTCTTGGAATATAATGAATTTACTCTTAAAAGTATGACTTTGTTCTCGTAATTTCAGATTTTTTTTCCTTTTCCTAGCTAATTGTATATTATCAATTGTGTTGTTTGTTTTGTGATGTTTTTGTTGTTGTCTCTTCTTAGACGTCATGATAAATGCATTTCAATATAGTATTTTACTCTGCTGTCATATCTGTAATGTATTGTGATGCTATGATAATGAAAACTGACGGTTTTAATTACTCTGTACATGTAAAACCCCAAAGACAACACACCAGGAAAAGTTGAGTAGGACACCAGAATGTCACTCGGCGTGGGCAGAGTGACTCTGGCGTCCGGTTCGTCGGACATGCTCAGAGAGTCGCTGCTGGATGACATGGGAATGGCGTCCGTCTGGTCGTCTGCTCCACCGACGGACGGTTTGACCTCATCCGGTGACACCTCAAACCCTGTGTCTCTTTCACCTCAAAGACAAAAGCATTTCCTGTGTGTGAGACACTTGTAGTGCATGTGTAACTTTTAAATGTTGTAAGACTAAACAGCATGCTCAGTGTTAGCTACCTCCTCCACATGCCTGGATGAAGAAAAGTTTGGGTTTGCCCTGTAGAGACGGGCAGTGCTGGCCGTTGAGGTAGTTTGTGATGTGCTGAACTGGGACGGACTGTCCATCCACACCATACACAGCACCAGGGAACCGGTTGTGACTCACCTAAGAGCATGGATATGAGCACACATCAGGTCTTACATGTCATCAGGATCGGAGCTTGTGTAGGTCAAAGAAAGTTCTGGTAGGAGTTTGTTAGAGTGTCGACCGACAGGTCTTACCTCAGTCCCATGTGACAGCATGATAACCACACAGCAGTCATATTGTGAGTGGTCCTCCTTAGACAGAGCTGACAGTTCACGCTTGATTTGCTGAAATGTGAAGAGAGCTGTTAGCTACATGCTCATACAAGCTACATGTTTCAGTGAAGTTTCAGACACGGAGGCAGAAGAAATAGTTCTTACTCTTTGTTTTAAGTTTGCCTTGACTTCCACAATAAAGTTGAGTGCCTTGAATCTTCTCTCCAGCTTGTCACAGTCGATGTTGGAGCCTTTTCGGTTGCTCAATTCACTCTGAGGTTCAAACTCCACATTGTTTATGATGAGGCAGTGCCCACATGGGCTGGCATCCATTTTATAGCTCTGACACAGACATACACAGAAGCACAGACATAAAATATGAAATAAATATGTAATGTAGGATTAAACTGATTGTACAGCAATCTTTGTCCTTTTTTTGTTGTAACAACTTACCTGTATACTGTCCCGTCGTTGTCTGCCTGGTGGTCTTGGTCTTATGTGCTCCCTTTCAGGTGCTGTGACATAAGCATCAATATGTGTTAAACGTCAAGAAATTTATCAGATTCTTACTAATATATAAATTAACTTCATATCTTACATGGACTGGGAGTAGTACTGGGTCTCTGTACTGGCTGGACAGGGACTTCTTTTCTTTGCTTGTCAACATCCATTGGAGAGGCTGTTAAAGAAACACAGAGCAATTAATGATAGAAAAGTGTTCACATTACAAGTGTTAAAAGCAATTTCCCACTAAGACCCAGTTGTGATATTAATCCTCATGAGATATACTATAGTGTCACACACTCACAAACTGGGAGAGGCTGCAGAACAGGCCGAAGAACCTCGGTGGGTGTCGCGGGCTGTAGATGAACTGTTGGAGCTCCATTCTGTAGGAGCTCCGCCAGACTGTGCTGCCCTGTCTCCTGAAGGCACAGCAGAAACAATGGAAAGGCTCGACTCCCGCGGGTCTCCAAGTCCCGGACCAACTGTCTGGCCTGGTCCCGTCTGGTCCCAGAGCCCTGAAAGGAGAAAGTTTGAGTTGAGAGTGTTCGTAAACACCCCACAACCTGAACCTGAATGCCGCCACCTACATAGCTGTCCTACCTTAATCTCATCGATCATGTCCTGGGTGAAAACTCTCTTTTCAAGAAGGCCGTCGTAGAGGTTCGATGGGTCCAAGTCTCTCACCAGGTTGGTCCTGTTGCGCTGAAGGATCTTCTTGTGTCTTTCCTCCATTCTCCATCCGACAGTAACGACCTGAGTGAGGAAGACAGAGGAGCCGTCTTTAAAAAGCTGCACCTGACAAATTATGTGACTGTTGTAAAGTCAGTCAGTATGTTAAAGTGAGCGATGTGATAACAAGTCGCGTGTAAAAGTGAAATTAAACCCACAGACTACAAATGTTAGAAGTTTCGTCTGTTTCGTCTTGTTTGTGCTCGGTTTCACTCGCCACTTCCGTGTTTACATCACCGCTGCCTGTGATTGGTCAACTGAGAGAGCAAAGCGCGGAAATAAAATGGGGTGAGTTTGATTCTATTCACCGCGCGCCGCTGCTACGCGGCCACCGTATCACAACATATACACGCTGACAAAACGCGGCGCGACGGGAATAAAAACCGAGAACACACGAACGAAGCAAAAGGTGTCACCGAATACTCACTCTCCCAAAATTACTTTCGACGCTGGGCGCCTCCCCCCTTCTCTTCTTCAGCTTATTCTGCTTCACGGCAGCAGGTTGACAGCTTTGCCCTGGAGGAACTGTGGTGATGCTGCTGAACACACCCTTCGCGTCTTCACATCAGCGTTAACCGAGACGCCGAGGAGCATTTAAAATCTTCACCAAATATGTGGCGTAGTACCGGTTGACCGCATCTGCTTGAGGTGACTGGGAAAATGTTGAGCTGTTTCGTGGAGACAGCTAACCACTGTATCAACGCAAATAACCCTAATGGAAAAAAAAATCTGCGTGAACGTTTTTTTATCCCTTAGGAATAACGTTAATGTCACAGTCCAGTAACATGTCAGTAAGATTATGACGTGGTGTTAGCTGTTGCTGTGTTATTTAGCTGACATATATCTCCTAGCCTGCCTAGCTTCTGGTTAGCATGCTATAATGTAATTTTCAGCATCTTTAGCTAACCGGTTGTCTTCATCATACAAACGTCAATATGGTTGAAAGGCGGTTTAAATGGAGTTTTAATGCAGCTAAAGGTTGTATTGTTATTTCAGGTGTAGTCCACTTTAACTTGATGGTGATATATATGTAAACATATTGTTAATTGTTTGTTTTCCTATGATGTGTTAAAGGTAGCTGTGATGGCAGGGTCAAAGATGTCTTTGCTGCTGGCTGTAGTGTTGGTCCTCTCAGTGCTGCTGACAGGAGCAACCCACGCCGGGCCTGAGATGGACCCATACAAAATCCTAGGAGTAACCAGGAGTGCAAGCCAGGCTGAGATCAAGAAAGTCTACAAGCGCCTTGCAAAAGAATGGTATATATTTTCACCAGACGCTCACCTGTTGAAATTAAAACACATTCATTTCTTAACTAACAGGTGTCTTCTTTCTCAAGGCATCCAGACAAAAACAAAAATCCAGGTGCTGAGGATATGTTCATCAAGATTACCAAATCTTATGAGGTTGGTCACATTTCAAAAATGTGGTTCATCAACTGATGTATCATGTGGCGTGTGTGTTTTGACTCTGATAAATGCCAGGAACATACAGTATATATTATGCATGACTGAAAGATGTCGTGTCGTATTGATGTTTGTTCCATCCAACATTCAGATCTTATCCAACGAAGACAAACGTGCCAATTATGACCGTTACGGGCAGACTGATGACACCCAGCCTTACAGCAGCGGTCGCTATGGTCATCGCCACGACAGCTTCTACTTCGACGAGTCTTTCTTCAACTTTCCCTTCAACAGCAAAACCCACAGAGACTTTGCTGACAGCAAGTACACGCTGCACTTTAACCAGTACATCAACGACGTGGTGCCCAACAGCTACAAGAGGCCGTACCTGATAAAGATCACCTCTGACTGGTGCTTCAGCTGCATCCACATCGAGCCCGTCTGGAAAGAGGTGGTGCAGGAGATGGAGACTCTAGGTGTGGAAATGACCCAGCTGCTGCCCTGCCCTTTATGAGGTTTCACAGAGTGAGTTGAAGAGGTTGATGTGGATATCCTGTCTTTGCAGGTGTTGGAATCGGCGTGGTGGATGTTGGCTACGAGAGACGGTTAGCCAATCACCTGGGAGCTCACCGCACCCCATCAATACTTGGAGTCATCAATGGCAAAGTGACGTTTTTCCATTATGCTGTTGCGAAGGAGCATCTGAGGCAGTTTGTAGAGGACCTTCTTCCTCAGAGGCTTGTGGAGCGGGTAAATATCTTCTCGTAAACACAGTATATTCTGCAGGATGTTACATAATTTGTTTCAGATTAAGATTCAGACTTTATTTATCACAAGAAGGGCAATTCCTTTACAGCTCACCCAGTCCATACACACAACTTCAGAACTCACAGGCAGATCAGTTCATGTCAGAGGCAACAGATCAACATACGAGGGTCAAAATAAGGAACAACATGCAGGAATAAGTCAAATAAATAAGAATAACACAAGTAGAATAGATAAAAATAACACATTATGTTGCAGTTTCTATGGTGATAGATAATAGAAATACTTTAATGACTGAATTTGAAATTTAAATTAAAATTTATTTATATATAATTAAAATGGCAACTGTTGACGTTTAGTAGCCTGATAGCAGAAGGAATGAAGGACGTGGAGCAGCGGTTTGTTCTCACATTGTAACACTGACCTCGGGACATTACAGTAAATTCATTTGACACAACATGGACAAATCAACAATCAATTAAACCAGCAAATAAATGAGAAAGTTAGAAAACTTTCAATGAATGATTGATAGAAATGTACCCATATACATACACCAAATTAAGAAAATGAGAAAAAAGAAAAGAAAAAAAGCAGATGTATATATGTTTATCTGCACTCACACATACTCTCCCACACATCTCCGTACTCAGGTGTATATACGATATATATGCCTATACGAGATCAACCACAAAACCCACATACATACATCCTCCAACTTATAAAAAAAGAAAACTAAAAAACTGTCTGCATACATGGACACCTGTAACTTAGGGAGGGATGGATTGTTGGCATTTATCAAAATGAATGAAAAGGTTTTGTTTTTTCTTCTTTTTTTTTCAAATTTCAGGTCACAGACAAGAATGACCTGCAGTTCTTGAACAGCTGGCACGAGCTCAACAAGCCACACGTGCTTCTGTTCGACCAAGTGCCTGTAGTTCCCCTCTTATACAAAGTAGGCTCTTTTCTTTTGTGTGAAATGTACCTCTATGTAACTGCGTCACTAAAACAAACATGTCAATAATTTATCTCTGCATCTCCGTAGCTGACAGCTTTTGCTTATAAAGACTACCTGCAGTTCGGCTATGTGGACCAGGGCCTCTCAGAGACGGCCAATCTGCAGAAACAGTTCAATATCAACACTTACGCTCCGACCATGCTGGTCTTCAAAGAGAACATCGACAAGCCTGCTGACATTATACAGGTCAATCACAGCAATACGGAGCCTGAGGACATAAAGTAGATCCGTTCACTGTTGTTTTTACAGTGAAGTAGTTCCACTTTGCTTTTTTTTTTACGTGGTTATGTTTGTTCTCTGCAGGCTAAAGGAATGAAAAAGCAAATTATCGACGAGTTCATGTCAAACAACAAATTTCTGCTCGCTCCGAGGCTGGTCAATCAGAAGCTGTTTGACGAGCTCTGTCCTGTCAAACAGTTCCACAGACGCAGGAAGTAAGAGAACCAAACATTTTCTCTTTTTTTTTTTAAACATCTGTTCACACCTGATAAGTTAACGAGAGAAAATTAAAATATGAAACCGAAGTGTCAAATTAAAAATTCAGGTATTTTAAGTTACACAGTGTGTATTCACCTACGTCCTGTAACGTCCGTCCTTCCCCTCAGATACTGTGTCCTGCTGATGACACGGGACGAAGAGACCTTTTCTTTTGGGAACCAGGCGTTTCTCTCGTTTGCCTCCGCCAACACCAAGGAAGTCGTTAGGTTCGCCTACGTGTACCAGCGGCTACAGCAACCGCTGTGTGACATCCTCATGCAGAACAAGGACAGCGCACAGTCACCACCACAGGTACACAAACACACACACAGACACACACACACACACAGACACTTCCAACACTACAACTGCCACTTTCACCATGAAGCTACATTTGAGAGTTGGCATTGCTTTAGGTTGTGCACCATGAAATAAATTCATTGCAGCAGGATAATGTATTAACAAGTAAGCTAGACCACCTCAAACCATATGTGATGTCTCATGCTAAAAACCTGATTCCAAGCTCTGCTTTGATAAACACATCACCTCTGATTTTAAAAATAGTTACTATAACTCAATAAAGACTTCTGTTCTGCTGGTGGGGTCGGAGCCAGTTCCACTTCCTCTAAAGGGTCTTGGTGCGATTGTTTTGGTCTGATTACTGTTTTCTCACCTGCACAAACGAATCGTACTGAGAGGGAAAACCCAACCAGGGTTCTAGAGCAGGTGTGAAAGCACCGTGAAACTAGAAGGTGACAGAGTCTTTGCAGTTATTGCTCCAAAATGATGGAACCAGTTTCCTTTAGAAATCAGATGAGCTCCCTCCATCTCTATTACACCAGGCTAAAGACACGTTTTTATTCACTGGCCTTTTTAGCTTGTCACCTTTTACTCCATTGTCATGTTCATTATTGTGTATTTGCTCCTTTTTATTTTCTTGTATGTTTACATGTTTCTGTATACAGTATAGTTACTATGCTTTCCTTGTGTTTTACTTATTCTGTACATTTGTTTTACTTGCTTTTATTTATTTTAATTGTCCTTTGTACAGCACTCAGTTCAAGGATTATTCCTCACTGCCCAAACAAACTTTTTGGAAAAACTATAATATAACTCCATATAACTAATTAAAAACAAAAATAAAAACGGAGAACTCAATTTTTTTTTTCACTCAAGAGTAAAAAGTCTTTTTTTTTTTTTTGGTATTTCTTTAAAAGATGATTAGATGATTCATACTTCATACATAAAGAGTGTACTGTTCTTGATCCATAGCTCTGGACTGAGAGCCTCTTTGAAACTGTCTGGTGTGTGTGTATGTGTGTGTGCGTGTGCGCAGGTGGTGATCCTGGAGAGGCGTAACGCTGCAGGGAAGGCCTTGTTTAAACCCGTGACCGCCTGGAACGGCAGTGAAGAAGACAAACAACGTCTTCTGGACGAGCTGGAGCGACTTCAGAAGGACCCGTCCATCCTCATCCACGACGCCATGCTGCCTGAGCTCAACAACGAGTTTGCATCGGTAAGTTCTCTGTGAGTTAAAATGGAGGGTTTGA